CAAAGATCTATTAGGGTAGCCGTAATAAATCAATTAATCTCCCTAAATTAACTAACCAAGTATAGCACTCAATTAGTCCTTATCATAATTTGGCTGGGCACGATAGCATTCCAGACCAAAGAATAACAACATAAATACAAAGGAAATATAGTTGAAACAAAATCTAAACAATTGAGATAGCTGCAACTATTCAAACTTTGCCTCATTGATTCCACATTTAAACTAACATGCATATTCAATGTCTCACCAATACACATGCTTTGTCTAATTGCTACTCAGTACTGCCGGTTCTTGTCTATTACGTAACATTCAACTAGCAGATAGCATTAGAAAATAAATAACAAATCAAGGTGTCAATTTGAATGATATCTACTTTCATAACTCAAAACAAGAATCAACAAATACTTAAATTATAAGCAAGAAAAATAAATTAAGAACGAAACCTCATAATAACTGAATAAATCCCTTGAATCAGAAAGAAAATCCTTAGCCACTCATGGACGGAAACATGACGGCTTTATTCTCCATGGAAATTCAAGAAAAATTGGAAGAAATAAAAGGTTTGAGGTGCTAGCATTTGGCCTATGCACGTCTGCTCTCTAAAATAAAACTAAAAGTCTATTTATAAGAGGAAATTAGGTCAGCCGCTGGAAAAGAGAAACGAAATCCGAAAATTTCAGATTGGTCCTCCAAGTTTGTATTTTTGTCACTTTTGTCTCAAAACTTCTTCAATTTTGCAAACAGGTCCCTACACGTCCAAATTAGCCCAAATCAGCTCCAATCTCTTATTTCCAGATCCTAACATGAAATAATAACAAAACTAATGAATTAAATCCATCCGAGTCCATAAACTAATAAAATATCAACAGAAACACAATTTATGGAATCTATCATATCTTCCATTAAGAAAAACTTTGGAATAATTGGGATAACAAGTTAATACCACTGATTATTTTTTAATTGACATAACAGTCAATTTAAATGGAAATTCATATTGTCAATCAATCAATCAATCAATTCGTAATTAGAGATTTCTTTTGGAATGAGATAAAAACCAATCATTAATTAGGTAAAAAAATCATTATTGTGAAATCCAAACTCAAATACTCGATAAAAACATATCCTCACAATTAAATGGTAAGAGCATCTCCCACGAAGACACCAAAACACTAAATTTGGTGTTTTGGTGTAAAGTTTGCACTCCAAGGAAGACACTAAATCACTATACTATTTTGATGCAATGAATAGTGTTACACCAAATTTGGTGTAAATTGTCAATTACACGATCTTTATTGCACTATCTTTCTACTTAAATCTAAATATATATTTGCTATGCAATTAAACTTGTAAAATAAATTATGTTATGAAAATCATATCATATTAAATATTTTGTTGAGATCTTTAAAATAAGACCTATATTGAATATAAATTTTTATTTTTTGAAAAAATAATTTTTAGTTATTATTAAATTCAATATGAAACAAAAAGTAAAAAAAAAAATTGATAGTTCTACAATGAAATGAAAAGCGATTATAAGGAACAAATTTCACAAAGTATAACCAAATTGTATGATTTTAATTAACCACAAAAATAAAATTTAAACTAAAACATTTAATACATAGAAATTTTAGTGCATCAAGGTTGGAGTGTGAAGAACTTTGGTGTAAAAAGATACTTAGAATATTCCATTTTTACACTAAATTTTGTGTAAATTATATATGGTGTAACAGTTGGAGATGCTCTAAACATCGTATTACCAAAAAAAAAAAAATCAATGCCATATTTACGTAGTTTAAGTGAAAACATATTTAAATGGTATTGAACCGAGTAGGCTGCCGTCTACATCAATATCTTCAGTGGCAGCAAGGTAAATTTTTTTGTGTCTTTGATTCAATTTCTGAGATTAATCTTCATGGACTAATATGTTTTTGTTAGTTTAGTCTAATAAATTGTTTTGATACTTTCTTCCAAAGAATAATTTTTTTCCCATGTGTAGAGATTCAATGGAAGAATTTCATACGCAACTCTACAAATACGGGTGCACAAAAGTTAATGATGGAGAAAAAAAGTATGGAATGAATCATCAGGTTTGTTTACTTTAGTAAAATCCATTGATAAATACTTCGTTCGCGTGTGAATGATTCATGTCATGTCGCCTGTATCTTACATAAACATTAACTTCAAGTAAAAATCATTACATGCTAACGAGTTTTTAGTAGTAACAATTATCTCATATATTTGGCTTTACGTCTGCAGATGTTGTGACCCATCTCCTAGATATCGGGCTTCCAATATTTCCATAAACAAGGCCAAGAGGTATTTCTAATTTTTCAAGTTTTCGTAGCAAGCTATACACTGAAGGAAGAAAATTTTTCTGCTGAATTTTATTTGTTAATTTGAGTTTTCATTGAAGGTGTTTATTTGGATGTTGTTTTTTTAAATTGATGCAGAAAAATGGGTATTGAGATTTTACAAATTAATCCAATCGAGAGACAGGCATGCAAAAGCTTGTGAAAATACCATATACACTACAAAGCGTGTAAGATCAAAGCAAGCTGTTGAGACTTGAAATCACTCCTTAAAAAAGCGTACGCAATAATTGATGGCTAATTACTTTAGCTTGGGAAAGAAAAGAAAATAAGTCAGTAAAGAAAAGAAAATAAGTCAGATTATTGATTAGTGTTAGTATAGAGTAAAGATGCACACTAGTGCCATTTAATTTGTAAATTTGTATTGTTTTATTACAAATTTTTAAACACAAAGTGCACATTTTTTTTGGACGTAGTGGATATTATATTTTTTTTCAGTTGGAACATACAAGATGCAACAAGATTTTAATTTCTTTTAAATATATTTGTTTGATACTATATACTCACCTAATTATAATTTGTTTTGGAAAAAAATTGGAGTTGAAAGTATTCTGCAACCTATAAACGAAAAAAGTAGTATGCGATATTTTCTCCATAAAGAAACAAAAATGACAGTTTAGACTCAAAGTTTGTTAATCAATAAATAATATTGGAAGAAATGATTTCCAATATCTTTTCGGATATTGAGAAAAAATAACTAATCGTTAATCCTATGAAATTTTTGGTATGAATTCACTAATCAAATCCATATTGATATTGGCTCAAAATTTCCAATGATAAACATTAATATAAATGGTTTAATTTGATCCGAAGATTATGTAAGCTAATCTCCCCATTGACAAGTTGTTTTTCCGATTTTCATTTTATCGAATGTTGAAAAATTATAAGTTACTTTTCTTTTCTTTTGTTAATGAAACTAAGATAAAATTTTTCCAAATGAAATAATGTATCACGGGGCTTAGTTTCGTTTTCCAAATCATAATACTTTTTGTTAACCTACATGGACTCTTTACTTTGCCATAAATATCTTAGTATTACCATTCAAGTCGACACTGAATGGGTGTAGCACATATCCTTCTCTATTTGAACGAAAAGAAACTCATTCTTTCTAAAATTTGTCATATATGGGTACGGAGTCCATGTAGCTTAGACTTTTTATACTCTTGCATGGTGTCAAGAACAAAACTATTCATTTCATGGAATTTTTTTTTATTCAAAATTTTAATAATTATTATCATAAATTATAATTTATGTACGTGATTAAATTTTACAAGTAGTTCATAAAATATTATAATTTAGCCCGCATATCATACGGGTTTAACATCTAGTAATTACTAAAATACATTAAAGCGAAGTTTGTTTTTAAATAGAGAATCTGGTAACTAACCAATCAGCAAAACCTCAGCCAATCGGTCAATACACTGTACAACAGGTCCAAATGCGCTGGGCTGATTGGTCGAAAGATCTTCATTAGCTACCATGGCCGAAAAGATTTGCTTTTTGTCAGGATTGACAATTTTATGAAGAATTCATGCATCCAATAAAGTGTCCTGTGAGATTTTGTTTCTGATTGCCATATGACTTCAAGAGCCCTTTGAATCTAAAGTTTCGAAATTGAGTTGAAACACACAATCCTTTATAACTTTCGGTTTTAATGGGTGTTCATAATCTTCCCTTTTCTAATGGGTATGATACAATCACGGGAGCAGAGTTATGGGGGCTGTTTCAAGAGCTGCAGCGAGTTTGGGATCTTGGGCATAGAATGGTGATTGTGGAAGTGGATAATCTGAGTGTTATACAGATAGTGGAGAAGAAGGAATTTGTTAGTCCACATTGGAGTTTGGTACGTGCTATATATGAGCTTATACAATAGGACTGACAAGTGAAGATTGTCCACATATTTCGTGAGTCTAACTTTACGGCGGATTACTTAGCGTCTACAACAGTACAGTTGTCTTTTGGATTGCATTATTTGGATGCTCCACCAAGCGGGTTGAAGCCGTGATTAGAGCATGGCATTATCGGTGTCTCTTACCAACAGAATGTTTTAATCTAATTATTTCAGGCATTTGCTTCCTTCTTTATACTGAAAAAAAAAAGCCTTTGACCAATCCTCTTAACTGAATTGTTTGGTATCTCGATTATAATCTTAGTTTGACACCTAGTTTATTCTCAAGAAATGATTCATTTTCTTTGACAAGTATACTATGTTAGATAAATAATATTCCATTTCATACTTGACTTGCAAATTTTCTAAATTTGATAAAATCTGAAGTAAACTTAATACAATGAGCTTTTACATTTCATTATTGTTATAGTCTCCTTTTGGATAGAAGAGCACAAATGTTTTCAAATCGGGGATTCAGTAGCCGAGGCGGATCAATTTTATTTTGGTTAATAGCAATTTGACAAACTATGACCATTTTTTTTAGAATAAAAAGTTGCCATTTTTTTTAACGAAATCTTTTTTTCTATAACTAGTTGTACAATTTATGAATTCGTTGATAAATTTTCTGTACAAGTTACAAACCTCCCCCAGGTTAATTTTATTCCCTTTTTCTTTTCATTTCTTTTTTTACATGGATTGGAATTTTATTACCCTTTTTAACGAAAGTTAAACCAAAATAAATAAATAAATATAAACAGGGGGAAAATGTCTGAAAAACCAAGGAACGGAGTACGGAGACCGGAAGAGACGGAACATCAAACTGGGGTCTCGACCGACGACTTCTGATAACCACCGTCCAAAGTCAAAACAGTTGGAATCCTGCTTCTACGGGCGTGACTCCTCTTTGACTTCTACCAGGAAGTCTTAACAGAATATTCTGGCCAATTCTCCGTTACAATTGTTGTTCATCAATCGGCAATGGACGGAAGAAGTTACGATCAGTATGGTGGCGGCGGAGGTCGCGGTCGCGGCGGCTGTAGGAATAGTGGTGGCCGGGGATATGGCGGCGGCGGTGGTAGTAGAGGAGGAGCCGGGGGTTTTTGGTCCTCTTCCGGTGGTTCCAACAGCAGCTCTTGGAGGTCGTCGGGCCCGTCTCCTACTCCTCCTTCAACAAACAGCCAGGCCAATTCTTCCTCCGGCGGCTCCGACAACAGGCCTTGGAGGTCGTCGGCTCCGTCCCCGATTCCTTCAACAAATAATCAGCCTCGTTCTTCTCCCGGTGGTTTTGACAGCAGGTCTTGGAGATCGTCGGGGCCATCTCCAACTCCTTCCACTACTCAGTCTCCTTCTTCTCGAAATTGTAAGCTTTGTTTTACTATTTGATTGTTTTAATTGTTACTTTCTTTCTTTTTTTTCGTCCTTTTTCGCCTGGGTTAGTCGTATATATATGTTGCTGATTAGAGTTCACCTACGTAGATTACACTATATTTGAATGATGACTAGTTTGATAAGAAGTAGTTGTTGTTGATTGTAACATCATGGTTGACGGAGAAAATGGCAGAGAATGATGTTGCAAGAAACCTGTAGATGTCCGAATAGAAAGAATAGAATCAGTGACTCATATGAAAGGAGAAAAAAGAATACCTAAAAAGCTTGGAAAGGAACTATTAATACTGACTTAGCGTATTTTAACTTTATATGAAATTATGTGTATCGGGTGAGCACGATGGCGATTTTCTGATCTGTATAGCTAGTTCCACATAATGGGATTAAGGATGGCTGTTGTTATTCCTTGCAGATCTGTTATAAAAATTGAGCATGCTATATAAGTTAGTCAATTTGTACAGATTCAGTTGAACACAAGGCTATACTTCAATCAATGAAGATTTCAGAAGAGAAGCAGCTACCGCTTCCTTCAAACACAAGAGATGATAAAATCTTACCTATGAGAAGGCCTGATAGGGGATCTCTTTCTGCTAGATCAGTCAGTCTTCTTGCCAATCATTTTTCAGTTTCATTCAACTCCAGGAGCGTTATCATGCATTATTCTGTTGAGATTAAGCCAGCCACGATTGCTGGTAAACGGCCTTTCAAAAAATCAATTCCCAAAACGGTTATGCGCTCAATTAAAGACAAGTTATTCACTGAGGATGATAACTTCCCAGTGGATATGGTTGCTTATGATGGAGAAAGGAACATATTCAGTGCTGTTGAATTGCCTGTCGGGGAGTTTACTGTCACTACTTCTTTCTCTTACAAATTTACAATTAGAGAAGTAAGTCGATTGGAGTGTTCCAAGTTGGAAGAGTATTTGTGTGGAAAAATCTCTTACATTCCCCGTGATGTACTGCAAGGTATGGATGTGGTAATGAAGGAGAACCCTTCTAAACATCGAATATCAGTGGGCAGGAGCTTTTACTCCAAGAATTATGAGGTTAGAGATGATCTCAGTTGTGGAGTCGCAGCATATAGAGGATTTTACCAAAGCCTGAAGCCTACTTCGCAGGGTCTTGCCTTGTGTTTGGACTACTCAGTTCTGGCTTTTCGGAAGCCTGTGCCAGTTCTGGATTTTTTGAAGGAGCATATACAGGGTTTTACAAAGGCAGATGATGTAATAAGGATGAGACGAGAAGTCATTAATGCTTTGAGAGGATTGAAAGTAAATGTAACCCATCGAGTTTCAAAGCAAAAATTTATTATATCTGGGCTAACTAGGGAACCCACTAGGAGTCTTTCATTCGATCTTATTGGTCGAAATTCTCAGGATTCAGGTAGGAAAATTGGGATCGTGGAATACTTTTGGGAAAAATATGAGAGAAGAATTGAACATCTTAACATTCCTTGCTTAGATATTGGAAAACCAAACCAGATAAACTATGTTCCAATGGAATTTTGTGTTCTTGTTGAGGGACAGAGGAATCGCCGTTTGGATCGAGACCGGGCACAGTTCTTGAAAAGAATATCATTGGCTGCTCCAGCAGAAAGGAAGAATTCAATATGTGAAATGGTGCAAGGGCAGGATGGACCTAGTGGGTATGTAATAACTTTCATTCACATTTATCTTTTGTTTTTGTTTTGTTTTGAGGTTGATCGTTCACTTGCTATATTCTATTTCGATTAAATGTTTTCTTTCCGTAGTCAATCCTTTTTAATGACATAGATTTTGCAGGTTGTCTAATGCTAATTCGTGCTTTCTCATAATCTATGTTTAACTTTTTTCTTTGCTCTCTTGAGGTGGAAGTAGGGTTCATGTCTTAAAAGTTTTGATTACTGGAACTAGTTCTGCAGGATTTTGGAAAAGATAATGGTTGAAATGATGCTTGTCCAATTCCCTGAAAACCTTCTCTCTCTTTTTCCCTTCATCTTGTAAATATACTATATTCTCCATTTTAGAAGATGATGTTCTTACCAGCATTCAGATAATTTGTGGATTTTGTAGCATTTGCAATTTTTTGTTCTGTCTAATCTCTTACTGATTTTATGCTCTCTTCTAATAATTGTTCACCTATTCAAAATTTGTCTTGGTTTGTTGTGTCACAGTAGTATAAGTCCTTCAATCATGCGGTTAAAATAAAACATGTGTATTGTGCAGTGTTCTTACTGTTACTTTTGCAGTATGAGCCATAATTGAGATTGTGTGGTACCATATAACATGCCTGACACAAGTAGTTGATTCCAACTTTTTATATGGTGCAGAGTTGTTGCCGAAAATTTTGACATGAAGGTTGAGAAAAATATGACACCTATTCAAGGTCGAGTCCTTGGTGCACCGGAATTGAAGTTACGAGAAATGAATGGCAGTATATGTCCTGTGACAGTTGATCAGGAAAGATGTCAGTGGCACATTGATGGGAAATCTTTGGTCGGAGCACAAAGCATTGAGCGCTGGGCCTTGATAGATTTCACATCTACCAGTCATTTTAAAATGCACATTCAAGAGTTTGTCTATAACTTGAGGAATCACTCCTCGAGACTTGGGATGCACATGGAAGAGCCCGTGGTCTGTTGCTCAACTGGAATGCATGAATTTTCTACTGTGTCCAGGATTGAAAAACTTTTGAGGAAGGTTGTTGCAGATGCTCGGCAAGGTGGCTGCCAGCAGGGAAAAGAATTACAACTGATTGTTTGTATCATGACTAAAAGAGATCCTGGGTACAAATATCTCAAATGGGTCTCAGAGACGCAAATTGGCGTAGTTACTCAATGTTCCTTGTCCACTCATGCAAGCAAGGCACAAGACCAGTATTTGACGAACCTTTGTCTTAAAATAAATGCAAAGGTGGGAGGAAGTAATATAGAGCTCAATGAGCAGCTTCCTAATTTTGTCAATGAAGATAATGTAATGTTTATCGGGGCGGATGTAAATCATCCTGCTGCCCAAAATTCCACATGTCCTTCTATAGCTGCTGTAGTGGGCACAATCAACTGGCCTGCCACAAATCGATATGCTGCGAGAATTCAGCCACAAGAACACCGCAAGGAGAAGATTGTGAATTTTGGTAGTATTTGTCGAGATCTAGTGAACACTTTTGCGCAGCGCAACAACTGTAAGCCTAAGAAAATTATAGTGTTTCGGGATGGTGTTAGTGAAGGCCAATTTGGCATGGTACTCAATGAAGAACTCCGTGATTTGCAACGAGCTGTCTGCACTGAGGATTACTGGCCAACTATTACTGTTGTTGTTGCTCAAAAGAGGCACCACACCCGGTTGTTTAACTCGAAGGATGGGGGTGTCATTGTAAATGTTCCCCCGGGAACTGTTGTGGACACAACAATTATTCATCCCTTTGAGTTTGATTTCTATCTTTGCAGCCATTATGGTAGTCTTGGTACAAGCATTCCCACACACTACTATGTCCTTTGGGATGAAAATGGGTTCACGTCTGACAAGTTACAGAAGCTCATTTACAATTTGTGTTTCACCTTTGCTCGATGCACTAAACCCGTATCTCTTGTTCCCCCTGTTTATTATGCTGACCTGGTCGCCTACAGGGGGCGATTGTTCCAAGAGGTTGCTATGGAGCAGTCTTCTGAGTCAAGGTCAGCCGCATCAGCATCATCGCTATCTGCAGCTTCATTTCAACAGAACTTCTACACTTTGCATCAAGACCTGCAAAATGTGATGTATTTTGTTTAGGTTATCACATCTAGGCTAACTTGCGCCAACTTGGGATTTCTCCGTCTTGCTTTTATTGTTCACCCCCTTTGATATATAGCTAACTTCCTAGATAGCATTGTGCAGAAGTTTTCGCGGTTTACTCTTCTTTTGTCACTTAGAATAGACAGTGGTATAGTTACTTTAGGTCCTTAGAGTGGAAATTTATTTATTTTATTCTGGATGCTCTTGGTGGTTTAACTATGAACTACTACTATCTTAATGAAGGATTAACAGAGTCCATTTTAGTGGCATTGGATTTCTCTGATGTTTGCAATATTGTGTTCTATTTGGACATCTCGAAAATACACACAAATAAAACACCAGTGATAATTCCTCTTGCCCTTACCAAAGCCCAACAGCAATTTTTATAGTAATCACCACAACAGTCCTCTTACATTTCAGTTAAGATCATGATGATCAAGTATATATATATATATAAAATAAAAAAAAGTTAAGATCATGATGATCATACATATTCAACAACAAACTTTTTAAGTTCTTCACTCAAGCAAATATGAATTTACTATCAGTATTGTTATTACTATATGAATGCCTCTTATTTCTCATTAAGTGAGATTAATTTGAATTATAGTTAAGTTGATTGTATCATACTTAAATTTTCTAAATGATAAAAATAATTGTCATAAAGAAACTCATTTCTTATTCATACAACGCTTGAAGATATGAATATCATTCGAACCATTCGTATTTTATTTATAATAATACGAGGAACAACTTTAAAAGTAAAAGTTGTTAAGGGGAAATAGGCAATAAATTTGTCTTGTGCAACTATTCAAAAGATCTGTCTCATTATTGATTATTGCTTTGGTTTTTCAGTGGTTTTAATTTTAAAGGACATGTGATGTACATCACCTTCAACCAATTACTATCATAAATCAATGAACGCAACATCAAACCATTTTCCCCTTTTCAAATGAGATTTTGACTACTGATCTCACTAACAATCCACACTTTTATCATCCCATGTAACTGGTTACAAATGTATCAAAATCAGAAATTAAATTGATAATTTAAACCCAGACAAAGGTTTATTTAGGATTTTGTTCAAATAGAGATAACGGTATAATTAACGAAGGACCTAATATTATTGACTTGTTATTGGATTGAGCATCCTAAACAGAACTTATTATTTTTTGAAAAAAAAAATACATTTTCAGTTGTTAAGACTTCATGTTTCGATATCCATAGATTATAGATATCAGTATTTGAAAATGTGAAGACAAGTTATAAATACTAGCTGAGAAATCAATAATGATACATTAAAAATACTCTACAATATGCTTATTTAGACTAATCATTTTACGAGTTATTAGTGAAATTTTTTTCCCGCGCCTATTTAGTTTTTATGTATATACAGTACATTACATTCGACATTGAGCCAATTTTTTACTCGAATTCTCTGTATTAAAAATTAAATCATCATAAAGTTGTATCATTTGTAGTCTTCATTTAATTCGACAGGTTTGATTAAAATTGGATTGATTTCAGTGAAATATCTCTTAGCTTTCCTTTTCCTTTTTGAAATTTCCACTTTCACTTTCCATGTTGATTAATGAACATTTCACATGACACAAGATGGGACAACTTCGTTTTAAAGTACCTATGTTTATCCCATGTCACAATGCGTGAATCTATAATATGTATGTCGTAACTGAATATCACAAAAATCACCGTTCAAACTCATTCAAATTTTCTGCGAAATGCGCGTTTCTTCTTATAGAAGTAGAAAGTAATTCTCCCACCTAACCACTCGTACATGTTTATGTCATGAGTTAATATAGTATTGGTATTCAAAAGCTTTCATTTATTTGAATCTTAAACACCCTTACACGAAAGTCTTGTTTTTTTTTTTCTTAACAAAAAATAGAAAGTCTTCTTTTGAAAATAAAAAATAAAAAACAAGAAAGGAAATGGAACTCGGGGGAAAAAAAAAAGAAAAGAAAAGGAAAAGCAACAAAATGGTGGTGGGGGACCGAATGCGCTAAATCAAAATCGCAGACAGAAGACTTAAAGAGACTTTGTCACAGAGAAACCGGAACTCACCAAGAAAGGAAAAAATTGGCCGATCTACTTAAAGGTTGACATACGTTGTCAATTTTATTCTATTATTTTTCAGTTAGTTAATATTACCTTAAATTATCCAACTGTTAGCCGATTTTGTCCAATTTGCCAATTTCTGTTTAAATTAACGAAATTCCGTTAGTTTTAATTCTAAAAATACCCTAATAGTTTTGAAAATTATAAAAATGACCTCAAAAATTTGTAAAAATAACCATATAGTCTTTTTTCACTTTTTATTTAATTTTTTCTGTTTTCTATTTATTTTTATTATTTCTCATAACTATAAAAATATATTATATAATCTTTTTTAAAAAAGCTATTTATTTTTAAAACACTATTGTGCAAATTTATAGATATGAATATTCGTAACTCATGGTTAATTTACATAAACATATTAATTTTTTAATAATATGGTTTAACAGTAATGATATTATTTTTTTAATCTATTTTTTTCAATCTAAAAAATAAGATTATTTAAGTAAACATAATTTTGCACAAAAAGTAAAACATTTAGCATAGATTAAATTTTTTTTATTAGTATACTTTAATGTATTATTACAATATAATTCAACAGAATTTAGATTGTATTGTAAAATTAAAAGAATAATTAAACTAAAATATACGTTTTCTTTAATAGGCCAAGTACGAACAGAAAGTAAAAAAAAAAAATATGTATATTTATCATTGCGAGAATTTAACATTTCGTGATAATTTTTTTGAGATATTAACATCTAACTTTAGCAGGAAATTTTTTTTAATAATAAAAAAAAATCTGCGCCAGTACTGGACTCCACCTTTAAAAAAAAAAAAAATCACCCCAGTGAGAATTGAGGCCTCGAACACAGTAATAATCATCTCCTATCTTAAATCACTTGACTATTCAACTCAACCCTCTTACCTTTAGTAAACCATACATAAATGTGGATAAAATCACTCTTCCGATTAAAAATCCTTGGTGAGAATTAATCTTATATCTACTATCATGAAGCTCAACACCCTAAACACTAGATTGTACACTATATTTTAGTTTAGTAATTTTTTGAATTGGATAATACAATCTATAGTTTATTTATTCAATTTGTAATAAATTAAAATATACTAATGTATTAATTTTTAATCTATGCTAAATGTTTTGCTTTTTTTGTAAAAAAAATAGTTTTTAGTCAAAAAAATATTATTCTTTAAATTGAAAAAAGGATTAAAAAAACTAATATCACTATTGTCAAGTTATATTATTAAAAAATTAATATTTTTATGTAAATCAACCATGAGTTACAAATATACATTATCTATAAATTTGCACAGTAGTGTTTAAAAATAAATAGTTTTTTTTAAAAGATCATATAATATATTTTTATAGTTATGAGAAATAATAAAAATAAATAGAAAACAGAAAAAATTAAATAAAAAGTGTAAAAGACTGTTTGGTTATGTTTATAAATTTTTAGGGTCGTTTTTATAATTTTCAAAACTATTAAGGTATTTTTTTATAATTAAAACTAACAGAATTCCGTTAATTTAAATGGAAATTGGCTAATTGGACAAAATCGGTTAACGGTTGGATAGGTTAGGGTAATATTGGTTAATAAAAAAAGAATATGGTAGAATTGACAACGCATGTCAACCTTTGAGTAGATTGGCCAATTTTTTTTCCATAAACTCACGAACATTACGAAAATCACCGTTCAAGCTTATTCAAATTTTCTGTGAAACGCGCGTTTCTTCTTCTAGAAGTAGAAAGTAACTCGGGGGGAAAAAAAAGAAAAGAAAAGGAAAAGCAACAAAATGGTGGTGGGGGACCGAATGAGCTAAATCAAAATCGCAGACCGAAGACTTAACGAGACTTTGTCACAGAGAAACCGGAACTCACCAAGAAAGTGACCAACAATTCTGATCATCTCACAACATTAATGCTTTTTTTTTCTTCGTACGGAAATTGGTTGGACTCTCATTGACTGTAGTAGTAACAGATTGTTTCTTTCTAGAAGCTTCTACCCCATTCCCAAAGTTTCCTTTTTTATCTTCAAAATCTCACTCTGTGTCTCTTAGTCCACAGTATGGAGTAGTAGTAGTAATTCTCGTTACGACCCTTTTTGCCTAATAACTTTCTCTGAAAATCCCTTTGTTAAAATTATTGTTGCTTCCCAGTTGACTTCGTTCGTGTTCTTTGATCGGAAATGGAGGGCAGAGGTTTTAATCCGTACGGTGCCGGAGGTAATGGCGGCGGCGGTGGTGGTGGTCGTGGCCGCGGAAGGAATGGTGGTGGCCGGGGTAGGTATGGCGGCGGCGGAGGTGATGGCGGTGGCCGTGGCGGCTATGGCTATGGCGGCGCCGATGGTGGTGGCCGCGGTAGCTTTGGGGGCGGCGGCGGCGGTCGATATGGCGGCGGCGGCGATGGTGGTGGCCGTGGTAGCTATGGCGGCGGTGGCGATGGTGGTGGCCGTGGTAGCTATGGCGGCGGCGGCGGTCGATATGGCGGCGGTGGTGATGGTGGTGGTCGGGGTAGATATGGCGGCGGCAGAGGTGATGGTGGCGGTCGGGGTAGATATAGTGGTGGTGGTGGGGGTAGAGGTGCTTGGGGTGGTGGAGGCTTCGCCGGTGGTTACGACAACAGGGCGGCTCAAAATTGGGGTGGGGATGGTGGATCCACGGGGAGCCCTTGGAGCAGGACACCGTCGGCGCCGTCTTCAACTCCTCCAGTGACTGATCAGCCCCTTTATTCTCCTCCTAGCAGTAAGATCTGCCAATTGTCATTCCAATTTTTATTATTTATTTATGATTATGTTTTTAAAAAAGTTGCATTTTTGACGAAATTTTGTTCTATTTTTGTTTGATCATCTTTGTTAATGTGATTTCTGTTACTTAATCCCCCCTTCTTGGGAAGGTAAAATGTTATGGCTCTTAGAAATTTGCATCCAGGAAGCTTGTCTTAGCATAAGTCGCGAGCTTGAGCTTAATTGTTGTTAACTTATTCCGCTTCAGTTTGAAGCCAGAGATTATAAATCACCGTGACAGAGATGGATTTGCCTTGCTCTTGCAATGGTGGTGACTAGCTATGCTTCATTCTTCTTGCTTCGTTTTTTGTAAGGCAGAAGGGAGTGGCTGGGGAGGGAGGAGTGAGGGGTTCCCGAGACGTTGCTTGACCCTTATTTTTTATATTTTCGTTTGTATTTTTGTTTGGTAGGTAATTGACTTTATATTGCATGACTCATGTTGATACTGGCATGCTTGAATGATGACCTTTTTACTAGGGAAGTGTTGCTGGCTGTTACTAGCAAAAGATAATATTTTTCTTGTGTTGTACTATCATAACTAATGCTGTGGTGGACTGAAGACCTCTTATAAAAAATGAGCGTGTAGTTTAAGGTTGTCAAATTTGTACAGATTCAGTTGAAGTTGAGCCTAAATTTCAATCGATGAAGATTTCAGAAGCGAAGCAGCTATTGCTTCCTCTAAAGGCAACTGATGATAAGCTTTTACCTATCAGAAGGCCTGATAGGGGAACTCTTGCTATTAGATCAGTCAGTCTTCTTGCCAATCATTTTTCAGTGTCATTCAACCCCAGGAGAATTATCATGCATTATGATGTTGACATTAAGCAAGCCACACCTGCTGGAAAACAGTCTTTCAGGAAACCAATTCCCAAAAATGTTATGCGCCTGATTAAAAACAAGTTATTCTCTGAAAATGCTAACTTTCCAGTGGATATGGTTGCTTATGATGGGGAAAAGAACATATTCAGTGCCGTTGAACTGCCTGTTGGGGAGTTTATTGTGGAGTTATCTGATGGTGAAGATACAACTGCTTGCTCTTATAAATTGACTATTAAAGAAGTAAGTCGGTTGGAGTTGTCCAAGTTGAAAGAGTATTTGGGTGGAAGAATCTCTTACATTCCCCGTGATATACTACAAGGTATGGATCTGGTGATGAAGGAAAATCCATCCAAACATCGAATAGCAGTCGGTAGAAGCTTTTATGGCAAGAATTTCAGAGTAGGAGATGATCTCAATAATGGGATTGCTGCTTATAGAGGATTCTATCAGAGCCTGAAGCCTACTTCACAGGGTCTTTCCTTGTGTTTGGACTACTCAGTTCTGTCTCTTCGGAAGCCTATGCCAGTTCTAGATTTCTTGAAGGAGCACATACAAGGTTTTAAAGTGGTTGATGATGTTACAAGGATGAGACAAGAAGTTACTAATGCTTTGAAAGGGTTGAAAGTAACTGTAACTCATCGAGTCACAAAACAAAAATACATTATATCTGGGCTGACTAAAGAATCCACTCGGAGCCTTTCATTCGATCTTCTTGATCCAGATTCTCAGGGTTCAACCAAGAAAATCGGGATTGCGGAGTACTTTTGGCAAAAATATGAGAGAAGAATTGAACATCTTAACATCCCTTGCTTAGATATTGGAAGGCCAAACAAGACAAATTATGTTCCAATGGAATTTTGTGTTTTAGTCGAGGGTCAGAGGTATCCGAAGGAGGACTTGGATCGAGATCGGGCTGCATTTTTGAAAAGCATATCATTGCCTGCTCCAGCAGAAAGGAAGAAGTCGATTTGTGAAATGGTGCAAGCTGAGGATGGACCTTTTGGGTATGTCCTACTTTAATTGAAATTCTTATCCACATTTGTCTCACTTATTGCTTATTGCTCTGTCTGACAAGTTTTAAGTCTAATCATTCACTTAAGGTTTGATTGTGATTCATTATATGCATGCTTCTGTTGTCAATCGTTTTTTCACAAGTTAAATTTTGCTGTTTGTGGTCTAAATCAGATTGGTGTTATCTCATGATGTATGTTAATTTTTTGTTTGTTATCCTGAGGTGCAGATGTGGTTTATTCCTTAAAAGATTTGGTTACTGTAACTAGTTATTGTAATTCTAGGTGAGATAATGGCCTAAACATTGTGTCCAATGCCAAGATAGCTCTCTCTTTCCTTATTCATGTAATTACCAGCCCTCATGCTAAAGAGTATTCTATACATAGAAAATTCATTTTGTTCTTAATCCCAGTGCTTTAACGAGATTTTGGAATGATATGATATGCTATGGATGTCCAATTTCTTGTTCATTTTATCTCTTTACGCATGCGAAAGAATATTTTATCATTAGATACATTTTGCTGCTATTCCCAATGTTCTAACTTGCTTTGTAATTATATGATATGATATGTAAACGTTTGGCTAGTTAGCTTTTGCTATTTTTCTTCATTCAATTTTCACATTGAATTATCTTGTCTTTCTACCTGTTCAGAATCTTGGTTTCATTTATATCTTGCTGGAATATTTTAACATAAGCCAAGTTCTTCAATTATTATAAGGTTAAGGTAGAACATATGTATTACTTTCTGTTATCACCAGCACTTATGCAATACATGACATAATTGACGTTCTGAACTTTATGTGGTGCAGAGTTGTTGCCAACAACTTTGACATGAAGGTTGACAAAAATATGACACCTGTTCAAGGTCGCGTTCTTGGTGCACCTGAATTGAAATTACGTGCTACAAATGGCAATATATGTCCTGTGAGAGTTGATCAGGAGAAATGCCATTGGAACCTTGTGGGCAAATCTGTTGTCGAAGGACAAAAAGTTGAACGCTGGGCCTTGATTGATTTTACATCTACCAGTCGATTTAGAATGCGCATTCCAGACTTTGTATATAACTTGAGGAGTCGCTCCTCGAGACTTGGGATGCACATGGAAGAGCCTTTGGTCTGTTGCTCAACTGGAATGCATGAATTTTCTTCAGTGTCTAATATTGAAAAACTTTTGAGGAAGGTCGTTTCTGATGCTGGACAAGGTGGCCGCCTGCAGAGGAAAGGATTGCAACTGATAGTTTGTATCATGACTAAAAGAGATCCTGGTTACAAATATCTTAAATGGGTCTCCGAGACACAAATTGGTGTAGTTACTCAATGTTGCTTGTCGAATCTCGCGAGCAAGGGACAAGATCAGTATTTGGCAAACCTTTGTCTCAAGATAAATGCAAAGGTGGGAGGAAGCAATGTAGAGCTCAATGGACAGCTTCCTAATTGTGTTTATGAAGATAAGGTGATGTTCATTGGGGCAGATGTGAATCATCCTGCAGCGAGAAATTCCACATGTCCTTCAATAGCTGCTGTTGTGGGAACTATCAACTGGCCTGCTACAAATCGATATGCTGCGAGAATTCAGCCTCAGGAACATCGCAAGGAGAAGATTGTCAATTTTGGCAGTATTTGTCGAGATCTGGTGAACACTTTTGCGCAGCACAACAGCTATAAGCCCAAGAAAATTATAGTGTTTCGCGATGGTGTTAGTGAAGGGCAATTCGACATGGTTCTGAATGAAGAACTGATTGATTTGTTGCTAGCTGTCTGTGACGAGGATTATAGGCCAACTATCACTCTTGTTGTGGCCCAAAAGAGGCACCACACACGTTTGTTTAACTTGAAGGATGGTGGTTTCATTGCAAATGTTCCCCCAGGAACTGTTGTGGACACAACAATCATTCATCCCTTCGAGTTTGATTTCTATCTTTGCAGCCATTACGGCAGCCTTGGTACAAGCAAGCCCACACACTACTATGTCCTTTGGGATGAGAATGGGTTCACTTCTGACAGTTTACAGAAGCTGATTTATGATTTGTGCTTCACCTATGCTCGATGCACTAAACCTGTTTCTCTTGTCCCTCCTGTCTATTATGCTGACCTTGTTGCCTACAGGGGACGGATGTTCCAAGAGGTGGCAATGGAGCAGTTTTCTTATTCGAGGTCATCACCATCGTCATCACCATCTTCTGGCGCTTCATTTCAACAGGACTTCTACAAGTTGCATCAAGATCTACAAGATGTGATGTATTTTGTTTAGGTTATCACATCATTCTGGGATCTGATATCTTGCCCCGGCTCGTGATAGATCTGATCTATTTTGCTTTCCTTGTTCACCTCCTTTATATTTATGCCAGTTATTCCCTCCAGACAGCGTAGTCTAAACATTGTCATCTAATCTGTTGTCTTCTTTTGTCGATTTAGATCAGGCAGTGTTCAGTTATTAATATGTTCCCAGTGTGGAAAACTCTCTTCTGCTCTGGAATTGCTTATGGGTTTAATGATAAACTATTATCTAATTATTAGCTGCGTCCTGTTTAATGGCATTGTATTTCTCTGATATTTGTGTTTAGGCTTATCATTAGCAATGGTTTGACGTTCATTGAGCCTTAATATTTCGTGAGCTTTATCTGGTGACATATCTTTGGATCGACGATCATTGAGATTATTTGTGAGCTTATGTAGTTGAATGCAATACCATCTTTCACCATGTCCTGGAAATCATTTCGAACAAGAAAGACGGCAATCAGGGAATGATAATTTCTTACACAGCTGTATGTCTGTTTAATCAAAATTCAAGAATATAGGCGTAACTTATTCAAGGAAAAGATCTACTCCGAAACAAAAATCAGATAGAGAAAAGAGGGGTAAATTATGAAGTTTTTATTTACTGTGCTGTACAGAAGATGAAGACCTCTACAGACCTAATGCATTAATTTGGTAGTGATTACTGAAATAAGCTCCTTTGCTGTCCATGTGACCCTTGAGAGTTTGTCAAGCTCTCTTATCAACTCTCCATTGATCATGGTGCTTAATTCGATATGGCCATCTGGGAAATAAACAAAAGCAAACAACAGCAATCAAAAGCCAATCTAGTTTCATCAAGTCATCATATTTCTTTGGTAAAAAGTTAGCACCATCACTGATTCAATGCAATCCTCAAAAGAAGTTCCTCATATTCATTAACAAACTTTTTACTTTTTCACATTTCTGAAAACATGAGTGTTTTTGTTTCTGTCATCACTCTGATGAGCTAAGTTGATCATATCATACCTGAACAGTCCAGTAGATGAAGCAATGAGAAACAAGCGAGGACCATTTCCTCTGTAGTTTTGTCCCGATGGTTCAGACACTCTAGCAACCGAGGCACAAGGATAGAACACCACAACGATTGAGAGCTTTTTTCTACAAATGACTGCAGGGAAGTGATAATCCAACAAACAGTAACTAGGCTCGCCCTAGCTAAACAAGGGATGCTTCCGACTATGGAATCAGAAAGAGCTGCAAGTAAATCGCTTCCACCAGTCTTAAGCATTGCCATAGCCTGTATCCTTTGCCAGGTTTTCGCTGCTTCTTCCTCTCTAATCTGTAACAGTTCAGTAGGGATATTCAGCAACGATAAAGATTTCAGGCATATAGCTTCCATTTTCCTATATGACATACAATGTAATGGCAAATGAATAGTTTCTAAATGTAAAATGGAAGGTAGATTTGTCCACTTTATGAATGCCTTAAAACTGTCTTCACCGTTAAGTGCCAGTATTTTTAGGAGGTGATATGGTCACATTTCAAAAAATTGAAGATGGAAAGGCTCATTCTTGAACGTAGAGCTACAGAAGGAGATTTTCTTGGCCAAACTTCAGTGGATAAGAGTTTTACCAGGTTTTGGTGGTGATTAAGTGCAACCCTGTTGGTATTGAATGAATCCAGGGAGTTCTCATCAAAGCCTGCTTGTTTTAGGAGCCATTCTTCTGCTGCGGGTTCACCTGTGTATGTAAAATGACCTCCCAATATCAATAGAGCTTTTGCGCACTGCGCCTGAACTTTCTCATTAACCACTTGGTGACAGTCTAGTGCCTTCACTATTGCCTCTATAGCTTCTTCTCTGTAGACACTACATTCTAGTCCTAATAGATTGGGATCTCCCTGCAGAAAACGACTCATTCTTACACATGTCAAAGACACTTTCGCGAGTAATGATACTTCCAGTGAATTTTCGCCTTGACAGATGTGGCAATAGTGATTGATCAGGTTTTTAAGATTTGTAAATTAATAGGATAGTGATAATAAATCATTGATTGCCACATGACGCGCTAATAATCTTTCACTGGATGTATCATAACTCATTCCAAATAAACTGAATAGGCCGGAAAAGCAAAACACTTGAATTCTAGTAATACCAAAAGATCCAGCCTTAACAACAATGCAGCGACCAAAGGGCGTTCTTCGGGTTGAGCCCTCTGTAGGTAGACCAACAAAATATGCATGGTATTCATTCTTCCCCATCCTTTTATCAGTTCACTTAGAAATGCAATCCTTTGATCATGCCTGGTGTTTTAGGAATATGTAACATGAGCACTTGGAAAGCGAAATCTTTCCTAAATCCATTTTATTATCCTTCTTAAATGAAGGAACATACTCAAAACAAAATAAGTGAGAGCCTATACCTATTAAGGCAGGAGAGCTCTGTCAACAAAGCGAATCCAGGACCTTGTTGAGTTTTCTTGTCTCTTTTGGCCAGAAGTGCTAAAAGACATTCTGTGTTCACCTTCTCTGCAAGGTAATGCCTACAGGTTCCATCGGCTCGAATGCAACTGTAAATGATAGCAGCGGCTTTGTTCTTTTCATAGATATCTCCAATTTCCATCCTCCGCAAAAGCAAGTTCAAACCACCAAGAGAAACAATATATCCAGCATTTTCCATGTTTTTATCTTCATCAAAACAGTGAAGAAGTTGGTCTAGGAAATAATAGGCTGCCTCTTGTGGACTGCATTTGATGTTGAGTAAGGTCTGCACCTGATCCCCGAATTCTAATACTCGGAGAACCAGTGGAATCCATTCCATTGCTATCATCTGTTTTGCCTTTGGTTTTGCTAAATAAAGTAAAACTGCAGCTTTCAGAAATAAACTGTTGTTTCTCAATAGTCTCAAGAAGATGTCAAGCTGCGGATCAAAATTCAGCATGATATTCGCGTTCAACTCCTTTATTGTCACCACTTGAGCTAATATTGAGATGGCCAGTTCTAAAATTTCATCATCATAAGATACTGATAGAACCTCCATTATTGCTTCAATCGCTTGTTGATTTGACAATGCACTTTTCATTGTCAAATCTCCATTTGAGTCAAGCCAGGCTTTGGTAATCAAACGGATTGATCTTTCACAATCTCTAAGACTCTCTGAGGTGCAAACAGTTCTAATAGCTCTATTCAGCTCATTTGGCACCAAAAACTCTGTACTTCTTTCCTTCGCGATTGAACCAATTGTCAGTGTACTCTTCTTACCAACAACATTCACTGAAGTGTCATTCCTGCAACTTAACAGGCGAAAATAGTCTGATCTCTTGTCATCCAGCCAAAGTTCACCTTGCGCTTTTTGTCGACTTGAAGATCTTTCGCTTCTTAGAGAACTCACCTGTTGCCAATGTAAGATACTTCAATCAGCAATACTGCTTCTGAAGGTAATTGATTTAAATTAATGACCTTATAAGCAGATTTTGGTTACCTACTTCCAGGTCAATGTTAGGTTCTTTTGTCGAAAACTTCTTGTGTTCCTCCAGAGGCAACCGATAGTCTAAGTCTCCATGCCTATCATTAACTTCTTTCGATTTTTTCTCCGTAACAGGGCCAAATATAGCTCGATATCTTGAACATTTTTCACCATTTATGCATAAAAAAGGTATCAGATTTCACAAAATGCAATAAGAATGGTGAAAAAGGGTTACAGGTTCGTATGTATTCAGGACTTAGCAGGAAAAGAAAAGAAGATAAACAAAATAACAGTGATGATTATTTATTTACTTACAGAGATGATTTGTTAGAAGCATGAGAAGCAAAGGAGTCAGAATATCTCCTCCTTGAAGGTGTATGATTCAGTGTTGAAGGCAGAGGAACTGAAGGAACAGGAGGAGCTTTGGCACCATCTTTAAGCCATTCCTTGTAATACACAGCAAACTTCTGAGTTCCAATATCCATTTGATCATTGTATGCCTTCCCTAAAGCTTTCATTTTCACTTCATTCAAATAATGAGGAGCTGATGAGCCTGAAAGAGACTCAGTTTCCTCTGTATACCAAATCTTTACATGGAGAAGATGAGGAAGAAATAAATGCTCCCATACATCAGGCAACAAATGGGTTCGGGCGATAAATGGCGAATCGCAGAACACTTGCAACAGATGTCGCGCTGAGATTCGATCGCTTCTGCGTATCTTGTATACAATTGACAAATAAAGATGTGCACAAGCAGCAACATTGGATCTTTGTGCAAACTCAGTACTTGAAACTGAACCATTCTTATCAGCAGAAATTGTTTTGAAAAGCCTGGTACAGTATTTCAATGACTCCAAGTTCATTTCTCTCCCATTCTCATAAAATTCTTCCACCATCCTCTCAAAATTTTCAATGCCTAACACCATTTTCTCCAACAATGCATCATCTGAATCCTCATTTGTCAAACATTCTAAGCATTTCGCCCGCGTATTTTCGCGAAATCTCCTGTCTCTCAAATACTGCCCAACATAGCCATTCAGAATCGAAACTACTGCCCTGATTGCAACTTCATCGATCGCGGGTTCATCCCTTCGAAAAAACCCATCATCAACAGACTGGTTTATTGATTTCCCTGAATCAGAAGCACCCCTTCTTGCTGAAGATGACACAACAGAGCCACTCTGTTGTGAATAGGCCTTACTGTTGGAATCATGACTCTTGTGCTTTGGACCATCAAAGCTTCTGCTACGTCCATGGCAAACATAAATGGGCAAAACAATGGATTCATCTTGAGGCCTTTTAGCCCTGAATTTCACCTTCTTCTGATTCTTGTGCCCTGCTTCAAATGCCAGTTCTTGCAGAGTAGCCATGGTGTAATGATGGGTAGAGTAGACTGGATAAGGAAGGATAGGGAGAGACAGGAGAGTGGCAGCTTTAGGACAGACATTCTTTTTGAGAAACCAGAGGAAATCAATTATTGCAACTCTCTCTTTGAGAATCTGACGAGGAAATCCAAGCCTCAGATATGAGGACAAGAATGATTGGCTTTAGGTGTTATTTTAGGGACTTCTTGCCAAATTTGTTGTTGCCTGTTAGATTTTTTTTAAGAAATTCTTGTCTCTGGTAGAAAAGAGGAGGTAAAAAATGTGCTACCTCCCTCTCAGGAAAATAATACACATTGAATTTTGAAATTTATATTCCGTTCTGGAAAAATAATCCACATTGAATTCTAAAATTTGTATAATATCTTGATAATACAGCATATTGCTACACAATAATGTGATGATGAAACCAATGTTTAATTCCACATGTCCTTTCATGAAAGAGCTAACTCTTGTGTTATACTCTCTGTCCTAAAATTATTGTTCAGTTTGAGGTTTCATTTTTAGTATAATTTGAACTAAAAATTCTATCTGAAAATACAAATTGAACAATAATTTCGGGATGGAGAGAGTAACTAGCAATTATGGCAACTAAAAAGATGAGAATGGCTGATACAGCAAAATTTTTGTGAATTTTTTCAACAATTATATAACAAGTCCTGTCATTTTTTAAGACATAAACATGATTCCACAAGATCATCTCCATAACATGTGCATATATAATAATGGCAAGAAATATAGACAAATGATATGAGGACCCCAGTAACATGTTGAATTTCTTATACATCAACCTTTTTCTTTGAGTTGTTTCAATAATTGTAGGATACCTCCTTTTGCACTCTATTAACCACACTTCTTTTTCTATTTTTGAATATTCCCCTGGGACTTCCTTTTCCCCCTTTTCCCCCTCCCTTTTCGTCTAGGCTCTATTTGGTTGGATTGAATTGGATTCAAGAATTGGAATTGGAGGCCCTCAATCCCAATTTTTGTGTTTGACTAACAAAAATAGAGAATTTTTTCCTTAAATATATGTAAAAAAAAAAAACCTAGACAAAAATAAAGCTTTTTAAAACCTTGTGGACAAATTTATATGCCCCGGATTTAGGAAATCCGAATAGGGGGAAAACTCGGATTTCGAAATCCGACCCAACTAAACTCGGATTATTAAAATCCGACTTTGTATTACGTAAATCGAAATTAAGTTAATGACAAAAATTAGTGTAATTAATCTAAATCCGATTTTATAAATCCGATTTTATGAATAAAATATTAATTTAGGATACTATAAAAAAATGTGTTGAAAAATTAAATTCGGCGTAACTCGGATTACGAAATCCGAATCGCTCTGTTTCTGAAAAATGGTGACTCCCAGTTGGCCACGGACTCGGATTTCAAATCCGAATCCTTTAGAAAAGTCTGGGTTCGGATTTCGCAAATCAGTCTTTGTCGAATCGAAAAAAATTGGACTGATTTTCACCAGTCCTAAACATGTTTACAAGACCAACAACAATGAAACATTGGAAAATAGGAATTTAATAACAACAAAACAATAAACGGCATTCGATTAACAACAAAATAAATCAAGTTTCATAAAAAGTTCAATACAAAAACTACAATAAATGTCCAAAATAATGAAATGTCTCATTTTTTCCCTTTTCCTTTATTGTGCGCATCCGAGTGTATTTGTTTGGGCCCTGTCGGATCCTGTCTCCCTCTTAAGATATGTGAGTATTGAACTTTGGTGTGGTTGCGATGTCCACAACCGAGCCTCGATTTGGGGTTGAGATTGGGACTCCCCATGGTGATAAATTTGACTCCGGTTGTGGTTGCGATGTCCCACCAAACCGAGTCTCAGTCCACCAATGTCAAATCGAGTCTCGGGTCCACCAATGTCAAATCGAGTCTCGGGTCCACCAATGTCAAACCGAGTCTCGGGTCCACTAACTTCTTCAAAATGAGTCTCGACTGGATGCGCGAGCCTCGAGAGGAATGTGCTTGATCCTCATTTTGTTGACCCTCAGTTTGTTGTTGCGATGTCCGAGGGGGGATTGTGACCTTTCTCTTTCTTCCTCCTCCAATCTTATCTCTTGACCACGGTTTCGCTTTTTTACCCGGCGGAGGTTGTGAGGGAAAAAATGGATCTTCATCAACCAGGATTTGGGTATCATCCACCTCCATCTCATCATTTGCGCCCAAGGTTAAAGCAGCATGTGTTTGATTGATGATATCGTCCAAATGCTTGTCAAGTTCTTCGTCTAGGAGATTATCATCTTCTCGTTTTTCTCTAAACCTCTCGGTACTCACGCGAATGTTGTTCAATACTTCACCCCGAAAAGAAATTGGGACGTTAATTAAGAGAGTAAAGTTCTAAAAAAATGAAAAAAATGGAAACATAAGAAATAATAAAAGAAATCTACAATTAACTCACATATAATTTCACGCGGCTCGAAGAAGTCTCGTATCCTTGAGGTTCATAATTACCGGATTGGATATCAATCGACGGTGTTCACCATAAACCATTCATAGTACCCTCATATACGGAACCGGGATCTCCTTCCTCCAAATCTCGTAGCACGAACTCTTCTCTCCTATTCCAATGACGGCGTCTTTGCGGAATGGTGATCCTCCCAATTATTGCTAGGATACCCGGACATACGTGGGCGTGATCGAGAAGAAATGCTGCGTTATCTTTAATCATGGGGCGCTTGGGAACATCCTGTATGTATCCAAATTGTCTTACGACTCGCCCGACTCGTGGGGTTCCCTAATAGCCCAACAGAACATCCAACACCTAGTCGTCCAAATGGCTTGGCCTTGTGTACGAAATCGGGAGTCTATGGAGGACATGTGCATATGGTTGCCACCGAAACGCACGAAAAAATTTCATTGGATGGTACAACCGAAACCAAAAGAAAGGGGTAATTGATCTCAAAGTAAATATAAATACCAAATTACAAGTACTTACATCTTCAACACGCAGACTTGTTAATTGATCTCTAAACGGTGGAGTCTTGCTCCTTGGGGCGTCGCCGTACGTGTACCTACATTCCCACCTTAATAAACAAAGGGGTACATTTGAATTAGTGAAATAAATGAATAAGAAACAAATAGAATTAAATGTTGAGTTATTTTGAACTGAAAATACGTACCGCTGAGCTAATGGAGCGGTCTCATCAAGCAAATAATCTACTCCTTTTCTTTGGGGCGCGATCCTCTCGATCCGCTCATACGCCCATACCTAGTAAATTGCAATAATAATGTAGAAACTTCAAATTATAACGTCAAAAGCACAAAATAATTAAAGCACAATATGAAAACTAATACGTACCTGTAGCAAATATAGACACCCGGTGGCGTCGTGCATGGTATACTGTGATGCCTCGCATAGGCCAGAGTACAACCCGGCCAGCAGTGCGATCCCCAACCGTATCGACTACACCGATCCAAATCCTCAACTGGGCCAAGAACGTAGATTGACGGTGTTACGCGTCTTGTTCGAAACATGAAACTGCTAATAACATGCGGTATAAGTGTCCTGGTCCTTTGCTCGAATCGATGGACAGTGGAATTTGAAGGTAGTGCACGGCCCATCTCATCTTCGAAAATACCAACATTGACACATTGGCCATTTACAATCGCCGGCCGGAATCCCAAATAAGCCTCACATCGATCCCTCCATTCATCTGCAGTCCGGCTAACTGTCGTGCCGTACACCGGTCACCATCCACCGAATACCAAACAGGACCTCGACGTCCCGTAGCGTCACCGTCGCCTCTCGAAATTAAAATGGAAAGTGTGGGTTTCGGCCTCCACCGTTCCACCAACGCGGTAATGAGGCCTAGATCAACTCTTTTGTACCCTACCTTCATGATCCCCTCAAAACCGGCTCTCCTAATGACTTCCTTAACCTCCGGTGCCGTATTTTTATATAACGCCCAAAAATCGCTGTCGTACCTACGGCCCTTGAGGCGGAATGTCTTAATGTCCGGTATCCTGTTCTCATAGACACTTGGGACCTATGCTTTGTTTGACGATATAGCATTTTATCTTGTATAGGTCCGGGTGAAGATGTTTAGGTTGATAGTCATATTGGGAGCCCGATGCCGGCGTCGCCATTTCAATCTACACAAGGTAACCAAAAAAAAACAAATCAACCAAACCATAAACATTCGGCCAAATAAACAAGACTACCAAACCATATACATTTGGCCAAATAACATAACTACCAAACGATGTACACTCGGCCAAAAAAAACAAATCAACCAAACTTCAAATTATTCGGCCAAATAAACAAGACTACCAAACTATATACATTCGGCCAAATAACAAATCAACCAAACGATGTACACTCGGCCAAAAAAACAAATCAACCAAACCATAAACAAACAAATAAACAACACTACCAAACTACTATATACATTTCACTATTTACACAACGATAATCCAACACAAACACTATATCAACACCACATCTATAAGCAACTCACAATAGACACAATTTAAATCCAACACAAACACTATATCAACACCACATCTATAAGCAACTCACAATAGACACAATTTAAATTCAACACAAACACTATATCAACACAAACCAACCACAATTCAAAAAAAAAAAAGGACTCGGATTTCACAAAGAAAAAAAAAATTTTGACAAAAAAAAATTAAAGAGAGGATCGCGAATTTCAAACTTACAGTGAGGAATGGAGGAAGTCGGGAGGAGTGGAGGAAGTCGCCGGAGGTGGAGAGTCTCGGAGGGAGTCGCCGGATTGCAAGGAGTCGCCGGATTATCTAGAGGGAGGAGAGACGCCGGATTGTCCAGAGGGAGGAGAGACGCCGGATATGAAGTCGCCGGAGAGTGGTGGGAGTCGCCGGAAATCACGGAGGGAGTCGCCGGATTGAGTGGTGGGAGTAACCGGAATTTTGTTTAATTGGAGTTTAGTTTTAGGGTTTTTCAATTCTGGAATTGGGGGAAAAATGGGAAGGGA